CACTGAGCTCATCATACAGAAGGCTCACTCCACCACACTACACGGTGGACCTAGCTTGACTTTGTCTCACACCCGAGAAAACTACTGGATTCTCAGTGGGCTTCGCACAGTAAAGAGAGACCTTCGCAAATGTGTGACATGTCGACGCTTCAAAGAAGAGAAAAGAACGCAGATTATCGCTGATTTACCAGAGCCTCGCGTCAATCCTTCGCGCGCATTCACTCATTGTGGCGTTGACTTCACTGGAGCCTTTGACATTAAAGCAAACAAGGTCGTGGAGTACGAACACATAAGAGCTATGTCGCAGTGTTTGTTTGTCTCTCGACAAAGGCTGTCCATCTTGAGTTGGTGTCTGACCTTAGTACACCTGGATTTCTGGCTGCATTTCGACGTTTCTGCGCCAGAAGATCTACCCCGAAACACATGTACAGGGTAGAAACTTCATCGGAGCATCCAAAGAACTTAAGAAGGAATACAAAGATATCCTCGCAACGATCAATGAAGAGCTAATAAACAAGATCGACGACCTTGACATACAGTGGCATTTCAATGCGCCAGCCTACCCTTCTGCAGGTGGACTATGGGAGGCTGCCGTTAAGAGCTTGAAACACCACCTTCGTCGTGTGATAGGAGAGCAAAATCTCACGTACGAAGAGTTCATCACACTGCTTCACCAGATCGAAGCGTGTCTAAACTCTAGGCCTCTACTAGCCTTGACTGAAAGCCCAGAGGATGAATACCTAACACCGGGACATTTCTTAGTTGGAGGATCACTGATATCAAGACCACAAACAGATCCTAATCACATGAACTTGACAACAAGATGGCAGATGATTCAAGCCATGAACAAACAGTTGTGGAAGACATGGTCATCTGACTACCTACAACAGCTGCAAGTTCGTACCAAGTGGAGAACACCCTCAAAAAACATCGAGATCAACGATATTGTCCTAATCAAGGATGAAAACTTACCCCCTGGCAAATGGTTAATGGGTAGGGTCATTGATGTTCACCCTGGTAAGGATGGATACGTACGGGTGGTGTCAGTCAAAACCAAAAATGGAATCATGCAGAGGCCGATCTTAAAACTATCCGTTCTACCGGTGAGAGAAGAACTCACGGAACAACATACAAGCAACGACGTTCAATCATCTACATGTGATGACGTCACAACAACTGACTCGCAAGCAAAACAACAACGACCAAGGCGCACGACGAGAAGGCCTGTCAGAACATTCTTTACGATGGTGGTGATGCTGTTCCTATGCCTGTTCACCCCTAGCCAATGTTCATACAACATATCAGCATTGGATAACAACCAAAACATTTATTTTGACAAAATATGTAACATAAATCTTATACGGGATGAATGGAAATTAATTGTGTACTATAATATGAGTACATACTGGTCAGCATTAAGTCACGTGAAAAGTTACGTCGGTCACTTGGAGGAGTACCTAGACGGCATTACGCTTCCAGTACAATACAAGAGTATCATATATCAGCTGCAACATGAAATATCCGAAATTCAACATTACAACAAGATACTCAAGAACGGTGTTCACAGAAGACAAAAAAGAGGACTAAACAATGGTGTGGGATATATGGCCCATCCCTTATTCGGTGTCCTGGACGAGCGTTTCGCGAAGAAATATGAAAAGGACATAGAAAAAATTTCTATGAACGAAAATCACCTACAACTTCTGCTTCGAAACCAAACAAGTGTCATAGAAGCACAGTACAATATTCTTCAAAGAAACGAAGCCATCATGAACAAGCCGTTTGGATTGGTTCAGAAATACCTACAGAATATAACCTTCACTACCAACCGAATAGAGAAAATGAATAACGACGAGCTATATATCCTGTCAGCATCCATGTCAGCCATGATTATTATCACTAATGTTCGGCACTTGCAGGAAAGTGTTATTAACACCCTAACAGACCTTGCAAATGGTCATATGGACGCTCACTTATTGCCTCCAGAACAATTGGAAGAGCAGCTCAATATTATATACAGACACATACCAAATGACCTGACTTTGCCTGCCGATATGCACGACTTTAGGGAACTATACAAATTGATGAAGATAAGTGGTGACCTGAGCAACTCTTATCTGATTATCGAAATTAAGATTCCTCTGGTCAACAAGAAAACCTTTGAGCTGGATAAGGCTATAAGTCTTCCGCAGCGGAACTACATTGTGGAATTTATAACAACCTATATCGCATTCTATCTGCAAAAAGACCTGCTCTTCACGCTATCAGAATCCGACATTCAAAATTGTGTCCATACACAGACAAACAGATTATTGTGCTCTATAGATAAACCGATTTATGAGTTACAAATAAAACAAGCAATTTGTAACTTGAGCATACACGATAAAATAATGTGTCATACAAAGGAGGCGCCGTGTCGCGAGCGATGGATTAAGTTACAACGCGATAACAGGTGGCTATTCTCTTGCTGTAGGAAATGCACAGTGCGCATATTTTGCATTGACACTGGAATGATAATGAAGTCACTGACCGGGAATGGCTTACTACAAATCGGTCAAGGTTGTACCATCAAGAGTGACATCTTTTCTATTTTTGGTCACAACAACTACTTGAGCCAAGTTCAAGTTCAAGAGGACATACCGATCCCATCAGACACTTCCATATTGAATTCCATCCTAAATACTACTTCAGGCTTCGAGCAATTTACATTCGAAGACCATGGAGACGAGTGGCGTCGCATGAAGGCTCAGATTACATACCTCAAAGAACAAGAAAGCGCACCACTCAGCGTACATGACGTACATCAATATTCAGTTATGTACACAATACTGAGTTTGATCATACTAGCGGCATCCATTTACATCATTATACGATGTCGCAGAACCAAGAGAGCACTGAACATGACGGCAAACACTCCCGTAATCTCCATTCCTATGACGGCAGTCACGAGCGGAGACCAGGAACCTACGCCAAGGACGAGACCGCGATCCGTGCGACTGGACATTCCATCACAAGTGTAGTGCAGTGATGAAATATTTAAGGAATTCGTTTTTATTATTTTACGATGTTATTTTTGTACTTTGAATTGTTATCGTATTATTATTTTTTTTTTTACATTCTTAGTACCTTTGTGTTTATAGTTTTCCCTCTTTTGGGCCGGCAGAATGTACGGGTTACCGCACATATTTTATGTAATTTTATTTCAATGAATCGTTTATTTAGGTCACGCAGAAACAATGCATTTGTCACTTGTGAAATCATGTAACTTCCGTACTTTTGCCTATACATCAATTTATAATTCTTTACAATAAATTCAGTGTTAGATCGACTTTCATTGGGTTTGTTTCGTACACTAACTTTCCCTTGCATCCCATCTGCACTCATTCATCTTATATACTGTATACACCTTACAAGAATACTTAGTTTACGTTTAAAGGCATTTCCTCGTAATTGTGCATGTACAGATTTTTGTGAGGTGTTAAATCTATAATACGTGATGTAGAGAGTAAATTAATTCATTATTTTAAAATTTTTGCACTTTGTAAGATCAGAATGGAAACTAAGTTAAGTGTAATGTGCAAACAAAAAGCACAAAATCATCTTTTCACTTTCCGTAGGTTTCCTAAAGTCGAATAAGAAAAACTTATGACAATATCGTGATAAGTCTACAAACATTTTGAATTTGTTGACAGTCATTTGTAGGGATTATTACTATATTGACTCGAATTTTAGGCCAGTAAAAATAGACTTTTTTTGGTCAACTTCACACTAAATTTCAGATTGAATTTTTATTTTTATAAGGTTTAGGATCACTTACTGAGCATAAAATCTCAAAATGCTGACAGCTTCAGGTGGCGCTTCAAGCGCCATCTTGTAAAAAGGTTTTCAGCCGATATTTCGAAAACTACGCACTTTAAGGCAAAAGTTATAGAAACTATTACTGTACAAAATAAAATTTTGCATCTTTTGTTTCCAGTAAACTTTTTTGTAAAACTTACCTACTTACATACCTCCCACAAGAGCATTGATTACGGAATTTGGTGTTGAAACTCTAAGTTACCCACCCTACAGCCCTGACTTAGCCTCTTGTGATTTCTTTTTGTTTCCAAGAGTCAAAGAAAATATATATGTATAATATATATATATATGTATATATATATATATATATATATATATATATATATAGAAGCCATGGCTGCCTACGAAGGAGCTATTTCCGACTTGTCAGATCAAGACTGGCAAGAGTTGGTTTAGGTGAATGGAACTTTGTATAGAGCATGACAGAGAATATTTTGAAACTATGTAAAATAAATATTATTAGTATCTAGAATATTCTTATATATCTCAAAACTTATTAAGTGTCCTACGTATTCTATGGTCGGCATTATAGTCTACATTGCTTGCTAACGTAGAAACTATACAGATAGACTTCCTCTCAGAAAACAATAGAATCGTACTACACTCTTCCAAAATATCTCCAGTTATCTTCATATACATAATTTGTGATCTTCATATAAAATTTTTGAGATACATATAAATAATTAAAATTATAACTGAAACTGTAATCCAAAATTGTAATTTCTAAATCGTAATTATCAGCTTTCACATTGTACTCGTACAATTTGTATATTATTATCACAGGATCTATAAAGACAATGTTTTGGTGCATACTACCTTTTTATACGTTATGGATGGAAAATTTAGTTTTTCTCTCTTCTTCGTTTTTTATTTTATTTGTAATATTGTAGGTATGTCCCAAATAAACATATTGTTTTGTCTCTTTCTTATCAATATATATTTAATTATTTAACAAAAAAACAACATTTTAACACAAGAACATTTTATTAAATATTAAAAATCAAACGGAAATATATTTAAATATAAATGCAAAAAGTAAGTAAACGTAAATTGTGGCAAATTATTTTGTGATTGGCACACAATGTCAATGTTCACAATTACTGAGTACAGCTTCTTTTTTAAATTCAATTATTTGCCAAGTTCTACCAAGTCTCTTTCGGTCGGATATTGTAACGGTTCTCGTCCATGAAGTGTATAAAGGCATCTTCCATATTGCCGTCATAAGCAGAGTAGTCCTCCACGATGTCTTCGAAATCAGTTGCCAGTTTTCTCAGCTTTACAAAAATCACGTTAAACGCCAGCTTCGGTTCCGTTATTGTGAACCAAATAGTTGTCTAGGTAAAGAAATAATCATATTTATACACGTATATATAAAATCTGTACAAATATATTAAATTGTGCGTGTGTGTGTGATTGTGTGTGTGCATCTATTTTGAATAATTTGATAACGGTTTTTTATCGTGATAGAGTCACGCTGCAGCTACATTATGGTTGTACCACGAACGGTTCACGTCGGGTCGACCAGGGAAGGATTACGCTTTCACAGAATACCCACAAATGCCAGCTTAATGCTGCTGTGTTTCATATGGTGAGTTTAGAGAACCGGAGACCCCTTTTACTGGAAACGAGGCGCCTCGCCTTATTCCTCAAAGGTTACAACGCATCTGCATTTTGATTCTTAGTCTGGGATAAATGTCTGTCTATAGGCCACAGCACCCACTTACCATCAGGTGGATTGTGTGTCACATTTATTCTTTAAAAAAGAAACAAAGACACATGGTTTAGACGTTCAATTGTGTGACGTGTGCAGTTTGAAGGGACATTATATCACTGATAACAGCTCCTGTGAATTTATTTGACCTGTGAGTAATCTATGTAAAAATAACGTATCGAGAAATTCTAGCCGATCTCAAAGACTACTTTTTATCAAAAGCTGGCAAAGCATCTGTAATTTTCCTGGCGTTACAGTCTTTTGTCGTACAGGCGGCAGCAGTCACTTACTATCAGGTGAGCTGCGGGCTCGTTTGCCCCCTCTTGTATTCATAACAAACTCCGTAAAAACGACAGCTATCTTTGTAAATAACACAATCTTTCTGCGTTTTAAAATTAAAATATTTAATGAATTGTCTCTGTATGAATGTCATAACATTCAGACTCGAAACAATTACTTATAGGCCATACAAATATTTGTTCCGTATTGGGTTCGAACCCATGGCCCTCAGCGCCATAACTCATTGCTAAGCCACTGTGCCATGGAGCCGTCTACAGTCTGTGGAGATCTTACACATTCGCATATTCCAGTATGCTTATAATATATATAAAAATAAGATTAATAGAACTATAAAATTAAAAGTAATTCGAAATACAACTTACCAAATGTTCACTGTTCACGTAGCAGCTAAACTCGCGGTACATAGAGTCCTTTAGCGATTGCACTCTCAAAGTTCCAGCGGCTGAATATGAAAATATGATTCAGTAAATCAAGTTACTACTAATCCTTATGAAAAACTATAAAAAAGTAACAGATGCGTAGTCATCTCTCAAGACTAAAGTTAAACCATATATAATACAATACAGTAGAACAATACAGTGGTATCAAAATGCACTATAGAGACAAAAGCGCCGTGCAGCTCTATATCGGGTCCGCTAGTCTGCCGCCTGGTCGTCATCTAGATACTTGGTCATCGGACACTCGGATATAGAACACGCGGATATCGGACACTCGGATATCGGGCACTTGGATATCAGACACACTGATAGTTCGTTTTCAAGTATATGAGCCGTGGAAAAAAGGTATTGTGCTCTCCATTTCGTAACGAGAATTTTCAATAACTTCCATCCACATAGAACGTCTTTCAATTCGGGTATGACTTCAAGTCTTTGATCAGTCAATGACCGTGTAGTGGCGATGTAAGAATATCCACCTATAGCGTGTTAGGGACGGAGCGTATAACCACTAGATGGACTGTAGAATCTGCCTAATAATATCTAATAATAATGTTACGAGTTTGAGGTTCGTGGCAATAAAAATTGCCGATAGAATTACCTAAATTAACACTCTAATTTTCTTTACACAAATTAAAACTTAAAACACCAATAATTAATCACACTGATTCACTTTATTCCGCTCCGAAGCTTCGCTTGTCTCGCCAAATTCAATACTTCCCCGATCGCATCTTGCAGCGCCTATAAATAAAAATTAGCACCGAAACATCCAGAATATTCAAGTAATTACGCGCCAGGTACCGAGAGTTCGAGGGTCGACTTCTCTAAGCTTAGTTCTTCGGTTCGAGACTAGATGGCGCTGTCGGTTGAAAGATTAGTGGTGTCATTTTCTGGAAAGCTCCCCTCGCTAGTGCCATCGACTTATTCGCGCAACAATAAGAACAACTTCCGTTGCCAACCCGATCGCCCAGCGTGGCAAGTATGGTGAATATACTCCCTTATAAGGTCATAGCGTTTGCTCAGCAGTGAACTTTTGTAGGGTCTGATGAATTAATGAAATATATATATATATATGTATGTATATATATATATATATATATATATATATATATATATTATATATATAATTGCTCCACACATGCCATTTCTTATATATTATGTATCATCATAATCACCACGTTGCAGCCATTCACAATTCCACTGCTGAACGTAGGCCTCCCCAAAGAAATGCCGCAAAGCACGGTCCTGAGCCACCGCATTCATCTACTTACTACATGTCTTACCAAGTTTTATATATGTATATGTTTGCTAAAATATATATACGTAAACACACACGTATTATTCCAGATATACACACATACTACATACATATGTACATATTTTGTGGCTTATAACAAAAATTTACTCACCATATAAGACAGTAATACGGAATTTAAAAAAAACGGTACGACCAGGTGCGTACAAGTTCTTGAAGCTGTTGGTAGACTCCAGTGTTCCCGTCTCGCCTGAGTCCAGAACTGCTAAACGATTGCATAGGCGCTCTACCTCTTCCATACTGAAATAAGATATTTAATTTGTCCATGGTCAGTTTTTTTTAATTGAAGGAAGTTGATTGTTTATAAAGATGGATCACCGCTATCAGGGAAGGTTAAAACCTTCAATTTAATCAATCAATTTAAAAATTGAAAATACAATTAAACCAAAAAAAAAAACTTTAATCGACTCTTTTGTTACACTATGGCATCCTTACAAACAGATAAAATAATGAACAAATAAAAATGAAACTGCAATTTAATTACAATCGTCCCCAAAGGGTGTTACCACACCACTCTATCAATCATCGATCGATGTCATTGGTTGACATCAATTGACGGCGATCAATTGGTGTGTTGGCTTTAGCTTATCAACGAATACTTGTCGATTGAACGCTGTTCAATCATCGATCGATAATTGGTCGGTGGAGCGGGGTGGGTTCTCGAATAAGTAAGCAGCTCGATTCACGTCGATGAATCCATCTTACCATTTATCAATGCCATCAATCGATCGGTATGGTAGAAAATATCGATCGACGTTAACTAATTCACTCCACCATCGATCGATGGCATCGATTGACAGTCGATCGATTGGTGTGAAGACACCCTAACACAAATGTTTAAAAACTGCTCAGACTCATGTTCAGATGTTCATATTGTTGAATCTAAACCACCGTATTTTGCTTTACCATATATCATATGACGAGTAAGTGAATTCTAAATTCACAAATGTCGTAAGAGTAGATTATAGAGGAAATAAAAGAAAGAATTATTTATTTCATACATACACTTAAAACATTGAAGTATTTTATGTTTTTATAGAATAAGGGTGACAAACGAATACACAGTCCACCTGATGGTAAGTAACTACTGCGACCTATATTCATTTACATTTATGTTCGCTTATGGATCAAAATTAACAAAATTTGCATGATTATATTAAGATTTAGCCTACCGCAAGGCTCCCGTATAATTGCGAAATTTAATGATACGTTTTGATATTTATTCCTTTAAAATATTATCTAAAAGATTCTTTTAGACTTAGGTTACAAATACGAGTATCTCTTATAGCTATTTGCTGCGAAACAAAGATAACTTCAGTGTTAGTCGCATTACCATATAGAACGATGCTTTTCGACTTTATGCTACAGAAATAAACAAAATGAACAAATCTAGCTGTTTCAACACATTTCGGATTCTAATATTTTTTACAGTATATGCTGCAAAACTATATTTGCTGGGAAGTTTAGATATTTGGTGACTCAAGCTTAGCATTTAATATAATTTAAAAAAAAAAAACAGTGGACTCAACAACATTCAGCTCCTCCCAGTTAAAAGCACACCGATATTTAGGTGTTTGAGATTGTTGGTTGTGAATTTAACGTGTTTCGTATTATTACCGTTTAAAAGCAAACTGATGACTTTAAACCAGTGTACTAAATTCAATTTAACATTATTTACTTCATCATGTCTTAGCTTTTTCTTTTATAGAATAATGGTCACAGACGAGCACACAGTCTTCCTGAAGGTGGATGCGTGACCGATAGAGGTCTTACATCCATCCTCTATTAAGAATCAAAATTCAGATGCGGTGTCACCCTTGAGGACTAAGATGGTATGCCTCTTTTTCAGTAAAAAGGGTCTCTGCTTCTTTACACTCACCATACGAAACACAGCAGCATTAAACGGTTATTTCACGTTTTGTGGGAAGTGGTACTTCCCCGGTCAAATTGACCCATTCGTGTTACAACCACAATATAGCTGTAGGATGGTACTAAAACTTAAAAAACTATTATTGTTAATGTTTAAAAACCGCCAAAATATTATAGAAAATATTAGTAAAATTATATCCTAAGAATGATAAATCTGAATGTTCGTTTTTTGAGTAAACCTTACTTATGTGACGAGAGCACAACGGCGTCGTCATTGGAAAGTCCACGCTTAATCTCAGTCCATACGAGGTGTTTGGCGGCGACATCGATCCCAGCAGTAGGATCGTCCAGCAGTTTTACGGGAGTACTGGCGAAAAGCACGCAGCCAATCGCCAGCCGCCGTCTCATGCCCATGCTGTAACGCCATACTGCCTTCTTTGCGAAATTTTTCAAGCCTAAGTACGGCATAGTTTTCATTTATCTTTCTGCATCATTGTTTTTTTATTATTAAATTCTTGCTTTAAAGACAACCATATTGCAAAGACATTTAAATAGTGTTAATAGACCAGACATCAGCAACAAAATTGTCGTCTGTAACTATAGGATATATTTCCGATTTTCGTCATTTAGTCTTAATGACACCGTCAAAAGGTCAATAAGCTTTCGTTTCATTAATTTAAAAATTATTATTAATGCAAACATGCATGATTGTGCATTAAAGTGAAATGGATTTTTACTTTATATTTATTAGCGTCACCTAATGGGGAATAGCTGAAATATTTTGTGAATAAATATTCAACCTAGTACTGCTATGTTCCGCTAGAGCGCGTAAAACACGCGCAAGCTTACAGTTTTTGTATACAAATGTTGCCAATGTCCGCTATATAGTATATTTATTTAAATTTCTTTGACACATTGTAATCAGACAGAATACAGATCCTTTATAAAGAGATACATATACAGATAAACTGTTTCACTATTACTTTGTCATTCTGATATTTGTTTCTGATCGCTTCGTTGGTCTAGTAGTAGTAAACGTAACTGATAATCATAGGATCCCAGATTCAAATCCCGGATCGAACCAAAATCAGTAATTGAGTTTCAGAAATTCTCAGTAGCTGCTATGAGTCAGTAAATTATTTAAGTTTTTGTTAATAGCTCTCAGGGAAGGCTTTAAATAGAAAATAGAAGAAAACATATTTATTGGAATGACTTATATGACGATATAACTACAAATTGTCGGCACAGGGATGATAATCCAAGGCAGTTTACTCTATAATTACTATCAGTGATACTATTTATTTGAATAGTGAAAATCAAAGGAGATATGACTACACCTGGAAGTAAACCCGCAGTTACATTTTACCATTCGGATTAGGTTTCACCTGAACGAACATATTTTAAACGAACACGGAGATAAGAATCAAACCATTGCATAGCAGAACTAGACGCATTAATGGACTGAAGGACACTTAGAAGGATATCTATATCAAAATCGACAGAACTAATTGCACTGGTGAAATCTACTACATCAAGAACTGTTAAATGTGTGTCCAAAATCCATCGGATATCGTCCGTAACTTTAAGAAGGATATATCGTCAGTAACTTTGATGTAATTAAAAAGGCCCCAATGACTTCAGAAGTAAATTAATATAAAAGACGTTCAGGTAAGTCAATATCCCAGCACTGGTTATGTAGCCACCATCTACAATCTGTGAAATTAAGATTCGGCGTTTTTGGATTCATTTTCCACTATTACTCGACCGCCATAGGAGATGAGCAGCAGTATTTTCTGATAAAAGGTGGTCTAGGATGTCTTTTCTGCTTGGGAGCTCATCTGGTTAAATCCCACCCTCTCGTTATTTCTCCCGCCAAATATGTGTGATTGGGTCTAGGAGCTAGTTTAATTATGTAAGCCACTCTGGTCCTAGCCCGCAGTTTGAAATTGATGGAATATGTACTTGTACAGCAGTAGCTTACCATTGAAATGGATCGTAAGTTCATTTTACACTTAATTTATAAAAGTAAATGCTAGCCATCTATCGTCGCAACTATCGCGAATATATGAAGCTTTAACTGTAGACTTTTAAGAGGCTAAGATAATCGTATGAATAAAACGCACTGCGTGTATAAGAGTTAGACAATTGGAGAATGGTACATTCTCCCTTAGATCAAAATAAATGATGAATTATTATTAAATAAACTGTCTCACCAATGGTATCGAACCAAGTTTTAGTCACTTCTTGTGCTTTCTTTTTTGGCAGACCTCGGAGGCGCAACAGCATTGTCATATTGCTTTCACCAGATCGGAAGTAATCCAGACCATAAGATTGTGGACAATAACCCAGAGAGTAGGCATACTGAAAATAATAAACTAGGTTTAATGAGAACGGGGAAGCGAGTCTTTGAGTCGAACACGAAGCTGAAAGATTGTGCTTTGCTTACATACAACAAAGAGGGAAAGAGAGGGGTCGAAGGAAGAAGAGAGGTAGATATGGATTACCAAGTTTAAATATTTTAATAACCAAATACTGTATAAAATGGTTCTTATGATATTAAATACGTGGTTGATAATAACTCCTGGGAATAAAGTAATCGCTTTCAAGCTGTTTCTTAAAGAAGTTCTGTAAATGACTTGTACCTGTCATTTGTGTAATGTTGCTTTGAAAAAAAAATGCCCCGCTGTGTTTATTACTGGTTATTCCATGGACAGAATTTTTTTCTTATCAGTGGAAAAAGACTTAATAACTACTAGACTAGACTTAAAGACTTCCTAACTCGGAAAAACTTGAAGAAGGCTTTAAAAGAAGTGTCTACCTGGTTACTGGATGCTGTGGCCCATAGAAACCTACATCTATCCCCGATTAAGAAATGAAATAAAATAAAATATTTTTATTTCTTCGACGTCAGAAAATTACTTTTTATAGAATAAGGGTGACAAACGAGCACACAGTCCACCTGATGGTAAGTGGATGCTGTGGCCCATAGACATCCTCATTTATCCTCGATTAAGAATCAAAACGCATGTGCGTTGTCACCTCTGAGGACTATGATGGAATGCCTCGTTTCTAGTAAAAAAGGGTCTCCAGACATTCACCATACGAAACACAGCAGTATTAAGCTGTTATTTTACGCTGGTATTCTGTGAGAGCGTGGTCCTTCCCCGGTCGAGCCGACCCATTCGTGTTCGAATTATAATGTAGCTGCGGCGTGGCTTTATGATGTAAAAAACTTTAAAAAGTAAACTTTTATTAGTCAAAATTCATGTTTAAGCCTAATAAATTTAACATTTCGAATTGATTTTTCTCTAACCGGAGAAGATACGACCAAAGATATTCCGTGGGTTTCCTCGCTTTCTGTATTTTTTTAATACGTAATACAACATATCATTGTGGATGGAAAGGATACAAAATGACAACATAAAGTATGTTCTTTGATATATGAAGATTAAAAATTTTGAATTTTTCAGGGTAAAGACAATCCGAACAGACCAGTCTCCATAAGCAGCAAAATGCAGAAGCGTTTTCATTTCTGAGTACTAAAATTGAACGCCTCGTTACCATTTAAAAATATTTTCTGGTTCTCTACACAGAATTATTTTACTGTTTCACGTTGGTATTCTGTGAAATCCCGGTCAATCCGAACCATTTACTATTATTATTTAAAAAAAGTATGATGCATGTATGTGATTTATGCTGACATTGCTGCAGCGTACATGATGAAGACCATAAATAAAATATTTACCCGCAAAGCGTTACACTTAACGTATTCTCCGTTAACAAAAATTCTTCCCTTCGTTGAATAATCTTGGCAGGTAATCACTCTGAAGTGGGTTGTTTTGCCAGAGCCATTTAAGCCAATCAAGCCAAAACATTCACCTGTGTTAACATATTGACATGTTATAGATTGTAGTTGTCGCTTTTAAAATTATGTAATTAAGAAACTTTATTTCATGAACTAACAAATTACGAATACCTTTTTGATGTATTACAAATATTTTACAATACATACCGCAAAAAATTTTTTTCGTACCTTTTTTTACAGAATAATTGAGATCCTTTAAAGCAAACGTTGGTTTCTTGAATAAACTAAAATATACTTTCCAAACTCGGCTTACAAGAATCTTCTCCTTTATAGATTCTTTTGCTGTAATTAGGAGATTTCCTTTAAACAATTGTCTTATATCTTTCAAAAAACCGATTTAAATATAGAGTTATATATTTTAACCCAAGATGGTTTTAAATTTACATATTATTTTTTATAAATAGATTATAGTTAACATATTTTAGAATTCAGTCGAGGGCTCAGAACTGGCCCCAGTAACTATTTGATACTATATGCACCTATATTCCGCTCTTATTCTATAAGCACCTTTATACAATAAACAGGTTGCTGCATTCATTTTTAGAGCTGCTATTAATATAGGAACGCTGATCGGGAGATTTAAAAAAAAAGCAAAGCGTTAATACAATTAAAATAATATGCGAGAAATCAATAAAGGCTGTATGCCAAAAGAAGTTAAATACCTAGTCAGGTCATAAATTCTGTCACATGTTTAATATAAAATAATTGAAACAAGTTTATTCATTATGTAACCATTTATATACCAAAATGAACTTAACAAAACATAAATGGTTATGACACTAAATTTTATTCAAAATGACCTCCGTGATTTTGAATACAGGCTTTCAATCTGCGCGGGCAGTCGTCTATCGCAGCACGAACGAGGTCCATGTCAATATCGGCGGCTGCCTTAATCAAGGATGTTTTGAGTGACTCCAAATTGGGATGAGGCTTTGAGCACGCCTTTTCCTTCAAGTGTTGCCATATCTTGTAATCTAACGGATTCAAATCTGGACTGAAGGAGGGCCAGTCTTCGTGCCGGATGAAGTCGATTTCACGCGCCGACAGCCAGTCTTGTGTGCTCTTCGCTCTATGAGCTGGCGCCGTATTGGTGATGTTATTGAACATGGTATGAGAAACAAGTTCCACAAGGTTCGTCAGGACTGTATTTTGATACACAAATGCATTCATTTTTACACCTTTCTCACAAAAATGTACCTCTGTTAAGCCCCAATAAGAAACTCCCAACCATACCATGAGCAAGGATGGAAAATGATCTCGTTGGACACGCGGAATACGGTTGCTCGCTTCTTCACTACTTTTTGCGTACACTTTATCATTTTGTTTGTTGTAGCTCTCTTCTACGGTTAAAATTTTTTCATTCGAAAAAAGAATTTCCCGATATTTTTTTTCCCGCATACCGCTTCAACAAAGCGCGACATGTCTTCAGTCTCAGGTCCATTAGACGAGCATTCAAACGATATGTTTTCTTCGATATGCCCGAAGCTAAGTCTTTATTTAACACCCTTTTCACCGTGGTTCTGCTTAACCCCATCTGAAGGGCCAACAGTTTCTGCTTACGTTTGGGATTTCTTTGGACATGTTGTGTCGCGCCTTCACAGCT